AGGTCAGATATTTTTAAATTTACACACAGGTGTATATAATTTACTAATTTGTATTAGGATACGCGAAAGTTTAAAAGTAATAAATAACATTCTTGCCGTCTAAATGTTATTTACTTTTAAGATAGCTATTTATGAAAATTACAGAAATCCACTTTAAAAAATTTATGACAGAGAAAATGACCTAGAATGTGAAACTTTCATTTATTACGTCGTAGTTGGTTAGAATAGTTAGAATGATTTATGGAGGCGGAAGTGCACGCTGAAGTAGATCGGCGAACAACTGATTTCCGGGCGGTAAGCGGCAGTCGGTCCCTCATCATCATCAGCCTACCGCAGTCCACTGCTGGACTTAGGCCTCTCCCATTACACGCCACAGATCGATTTTGGGATCCTCGCATCCAGCTCCTGGCAGCCATCTTGCGCAAATCGTCACTCCTCCTGGTCTGAGGACGTCCTACACTACGTTTGCCGAGACGCTAAATAGAGAATGTACCCGACGGTGGTACCCGCGCTGTTGAGGGCAGGCGCTAGGAGGGGTGCGAATGTCTTAATAACAGCAAATCTCGGATCCCTCTTATTACAGGCGTTCAATGGCTTACCGTGTGGTTTTAGTCGGTCCGATTCCGAAACATCATCACGCCGCAAACCCCGGTGGGGTGACGGCAACAGGAAGTTTCCAAACGTTAAAAAAAAGGTAGAATGATTTAGGGTGAATGAACTCGAAAATTTATGTGAAGATGGACATGGCTTAATGACTCCGGTTTTTTAAATTTCTAAAATCTTTTTAGGCATTTTTAAGTAAAACCGCATGTTAATAGATACGTATCTATGTCAACACATAGATACGTATTTATTAACATGCGGTACTCTTTACAACAAAAGTATAACTACCAAATCATCGTCATTATCACCATCAATGACTAGCTATGTAAAGATTACATTATTAGGCGGATGTAACACCTAATAATTATAATTGGTATCATTAGTGCCTGTTTCGTATTCACGTTACTGCATATACTTCTATACACCCAAGAAATTAGAAAGGAATATATCGAACAACTGTTTTTAAAAACAGTGCATGTATATTCTTATTCATTTACTCGTATATTCTCATTAGACTGTCCTGTTTTTCTAGTGGTTAGTGACCCTGACTGCTACGCCAGAGTGTTCGATTCCCACCCAGGACAAATAATTGTGTGATGAGCTGGGTCATTTGTTCTGTGTCTGGGTGTAATTTATCTATAATTTGTATGTATTTAGAAATATATAAGTATGTTTATCAGCAGTCTGGTTACCATAGTAAAGGCTCTGCCAAGTTTGGGATCAGATGGCCGTGTTTGAAATGAGTGAAAATATTATATTATATATTATTCTAATTAGCACCTGCAATTACCCAAGTAGGTGTGTCCGTGTGAGCATGAGGGATCATAGAGCGTAGGTACTTATTTCTTTGATGTATTGTAGTAAACGTGACTTGACTTTAACTTAAATATCGATTTCTAGAAACTTTTTTCTTTGTAGTGAAATTTTTTTCTAGAAATCGATAAATTATGGTAAACGATACAAAAAAAAATGTAAATAAGATTCTTTCTAAGATAAATTTCTATGACAGTAGTTTACATTGTCATCCTCATTCTCTTAATAATTAAATGTATTTCGAAAACAACCTGACATGAATTTACTTTATGCAATGACAAAGCAAGTAAATAAAATTAATTATTTATTGCATTTACTATGACTAAACATAAAAACCATTTTTGCTCGTTATTAATTTTGTTAATGACCAAATACTATATACTTGTACGTTATATAACATAATTAAAATATTTATCCACAACCAAATGTTGCATATCTCTGTTTTTCGGGTGCAATGAGTCCGCCTCCTGTCGTAGCAACGGTTCTATGTAAGCGTGCCGGATGCGGGCAATCGTGGCAATTTGCCGCGCGTTTCAATTGTTGAGTTCCTTACGTGTGTTGTTACCTTGACTTATCTACTTTGTTTTTATTTATTTTCATTATCATTATTGACATAATTTTTTAGTAAACTGATTTACGATTTGGTCGTTTTTACGTACTTTGTTCATTTAAAAATCACATAAAAATAAATCCAAATGTAACACGTATTTTCTTACATCTTGATAAGATCTTATCACAATCAGAGAAGGAAGAATCTAAAACTCATTCATCATTGCACTCCTATCCATTTCGACGCAGGCTATTTTGACTTTAAGAAGGCATTTGACCTTGTTGATAATAATATATTTTTAAGGCAATTATTAGCAGTGCTTGGACTCTTTACACCACTTCTAAAATTTATGTTATATTATCTTAGAGACCGTGAGCAATATGTTAAGCTGGGAAGTTATACATCCCAAGAATATTATACACGCGCGGGTGTGAGTCAAGGTAGCACGCTCGGTCCAACTCTATTCTTATTAATGATTAACGATTTAAACAGTATTATCTCAACGGCAAAATGTAAATATATGCAAATCCATAAATACTATTTATTATTATTATTATCGAATGTACAATGTAACAAAAATATTGTTATTAACGTTAAATCCTATAATCATTATTTTAAAGAGTCTTTTATGTTTTCGCAGAACTCGATTGCATTCGAATAGACCTGTATATTCGTATAACGTACGTGTGAGTATGCAAGAAGCTAAAGGAAATTATTGTAGTATGCAGCTATTAATAAGCTAAAAATTGTAGAGACCTTACAACATAAAGAGAACAGCTGAATATCCCTAAAATTTGTTATTAAATCCCTTGTCGTAGTCTAATCGGATAATGATCACCGCCTTATTACTATAAGGCGCACTTAGAACATGTTTTGTTCCTAAGTTTCTCTTTCCTGATTATCCTTCTCCCCTTTGATTTTCTGCCCAGTCTTCTAAGAACTCCTTTGCTCTCTTATCGTTCGTTATTTGATTAACTGTTTTAAAGAATTCAGGTAATTCTCTAACTATATTTATAAAGATAAAATGTTTTTTTTGTATATTTTTCTGGACACAAAGCGAGTTGCTGAAATACATGGTTTAAAATGCTTTTCACTTGATTATCTTCAACCAGTGTTCTACATCATCTGATAAATTTTTAACGAAAATGAACTGGTGAATGAGTTCATTTTCGTTAAAAATGTCCGAGGTATCACAGTCGAGTGATCGCCTAATTTCTTAATAGAACCTCTGGGCAGACAACATGGAAACTCCTTTTAAATAGAATGTAAATTATGTGTACAAACATCACATCGCTTTCTATGTTCCAAAAGAACAAAAAAATATGTCACTATATATAAAACGTTGACGGCAAAACGTCTATTTCCTAATAAAAATTATATAATCTAAAAAAAATTCAAAATCACACAAAATTTGCAAGTAAAAATTTACGAAGTTGATACAAACATTCTAAAAGGTTACTGGGGATATTTTAGAAAAGAAAATGCCTTGCTGTGCCTTACCCCACTTCTATGGACCTCCACCACCCAGGATAGAACCACCACCTCCCATCTGCCGTAATTGCTGCGGAATACCGACCTGTGGATGTTGCGGGAATTGCGCTGGGCCGCGTTGCGGTCCATGTTGCGGCCCGTGCTGTGGACCATGTTGCGGTAGGGGCCCAGGACCTGGATATTAGAACCTTGGTGGGGCCTCCTACTATATTTATAAAGTAAATGACTAATAAGTGCCCCAGTGTGCCTGTTAGTGATTGTTAAGAATAAATTATTTTAACATAAAAAAAACCCTTTTGAATTAGCTCATTTTTATAAGTATCATATATATTTATATATTATATTATAATTTTAACTTTTTATATAAGTTATTTTTATTTCAAATGTTCTCAAAATATTATTTTACACATATGTCTAAAATATAAATAGTTTTATCCCTTGTTCGCTGTAGGACAGATTTGCTTTACGGCAGAAATTGTAGTGTTGAAATTGCTAGAAAGGCTTACTTAAATTTGGGTAAATCATCATCACCCTCGAGCCTTTAATAGTCCTTGCTAGAAATAGGCTTCTCCTTAGAAAGGACGTTTTGGTCTAATATACTACGGTCGCCAGACGGGTTGGTGTAGGTGTCAATTTTTCCTTCTCCTTGCGGTGCTATTGCCCTGCATAGTTTGCTTCCTTAGTCGGCTTTTACGACACCCACTGGAGAAAAGGGATAGTGACACTCCGTATTCTTAATCCGTCACCTCGCGAAATCGGATTTGGATAAACCACTTGTAAAAAATATTCACAAGACTACGAGGTAACTTGAGATCTTTTAGATCTCAAGTTACCTCGTAGTCTTGTGAACATTTTTCTTGTTTGACAACAAGACAAAGTGATATGTTGGCTTTTTAGCACACGATTAACGAAAACCAAATTTCAAAACTACAAAACGGTGACGGTATCTTCAAAATTGTTCTCAGCGCAGGATCTTCTATCAATTATACACGTGACGTGATCGTATTTCTCAAATGAGATTAATAATTAGTTCATTTAGGGATTATTAATTAGGGATTAAAATTGGTGGTAACAATGTGTACTTGTTACCACCAATTTTAATCCCTAACGTATTTTAGCTTTTCAAGAATCGGTGAATGATTCTGAAGAATATACAGCATTGAGGGACTGTCGATACTGTACTTAAGTTCTCTGCACTGACTATAGGTATGTCAAAGTCAAACCTTGGGGAAGGCCTATGTCCAGCAGTAGACTTCTTCGGGGTAAGATGTCAAAGGAGCAGATAACTTGTTTTATTATCCCAAATTAAATCCTCGGACCGTCAATTGCTTCAAATTTGCGAACTTGGAAACCATCTGTTTTCCATAACACAACTCAAATTTTGCCTTAAATTATTAAAATAAAAGCCTAACTGATCACAACACATTTTTTTATTTAACACCATATTCCGCAGTTCATCCACAAGCTGGTCCGCAGCACGATGCACAAAGACCACTGGTGCAGCCTCCGATACAACCGTGACCGCAGCTAAAGTATGAGCCTGCTACTCCACAACGGGCTCTGCAAGGAAAAAGTAGCATTTTTATAGTCTAGTTCTTGTCAAGTATTTGAATTTTTTACCTAAATTCGATGACTTTCCTAACTATATACAAGAATGCGAATGTCAGTTTGTTTGATTCGCTTTCAGACCTTAACAACTCAACCGATAATTATGATGATGACTTCATTGATGTTTGTTATTTACCAAGCCACGTACAAAAGGAGCATCTATAGAATCGCTAAACCAGCACATTTTTAAAGTAGTGATTGATTGATTCGTCTGCTAAATAATAAAATAATAGGAAAAAGATCTTGGTTATATTGTATATGATTTACATCTTAGATTCTTATATTGTATCCATATATTATAACTGCAAAAGTGACTTTGTTTCTTTGTTACGCTTTCACGCCGAAACCACTAAACCGATTTAAAAAATATTCATATTCATACAATCCAACCGTTCGCAATGAATTATTTGGAAAATTTCTGAGAAAAAAATCATTACGATTACAATTCTTAACACAGAAGGAGGATATTGTAATTTTTATTGTCCCTTTCCCAAATTAACGTGGCAATTGAGGAAATAGGCCGGCTGCCAGGCGGTAACCCCTCTTGAGGAGTTCTTGAGAATCGTTTTCGAACAATAAAGAAAAAAGGCAACTTGGATTAGGAAATAAGCTAATTTTTTATAAGGTTATGGATTTTCTTAATCCCATATATCTCAGTTGGAAAAAAAGGATATTCGTGTATGTATGGGAGAAGCCACTCGAACGCGGCCATTAACAAGTCATTGAGACTACTACTATCTTTTTTTTTTAATTAGGAGTAATCCCTCTCTCACTCGCTGTCCTGTACACACCTAGCTATGACACTCGGGAAAGTTCCGGAAAAAAATTAAACTGTCATGGAACACGAAATTAATCAGAAGAAATTGGAGGAGTTGGAAATATAATAAATTCACTTCCTTCCTTATCAAAGCGGAGGACAAAATCAAGTAAAAATAGGCATACACCGCCTTATACAAGAAAGCACCACATCCACAAAATATTACGGGTCCTAAGTGGGCTATAATTGATTTATATACCTAAATATGCATGGTAGAATCGCCTAAAGGCACGGAAATTCACCCTAGTTGACACAAGATCCTCATTATATACCGCCCCAGATGTCACCTAAGCATTCTATTAAGTTCATTATACCAAAGACTACATTTCCAGAGGATATGATGAGCAGACTGTTATGAGGATATGATGAGTGACTGACTTCACAGTTAGAGTCAGGTGTTGAACATTGACACAATGGTGACTCGAGTAATTCAAATGAATGCAGTTTGCTTTTCAAGTTACTTGCTTCTTTAAGTTACCTGTCTAAGCAATTGAGCGACATAGTGGTCATCCTTAAGCCATGTCCTCGGTAGAAGGAAAGAACTGGGCACTAAAGGCAGCGCCGCCTAAGATGATTAGTCCTAGCTTTGTTGCCTTTCGTCTATGAGGTCATTATAGACATCTACTATTTATAAAATGTTGCTTCTCTTCTTCAACTCTGCTTCAACAGTTTTGTCATTAAAATAATTATGAGAATGACTACAGTGAAGGGTTTATTAAAATTTACCCGTGTAAGCAGCCGCCTCCTCCACAGCATGGTGCGCTACAGCAACCCGCTTGGTGCACACAGCATGGTCCAGTCCCGCAATCAATTCTTCTGGAACACGCTCCACCGCAGCAGGGTCCTGACAACTGGCCGTGGCAGCATTGACAGCAATTACGGACTGGCATTGTGATATTTTACCTACAAAAAACGTATATAGTAAGAAGAATAGTTAACAGATTTTTTCTTTTTATTTTATTATTAAATGCACTTACAAATTTTATACAAAAATTTATGAAAATTGTATTTTTTTTTGTTGGTTTTATGTGTCTCAAAGACGTAAATGACAGATGTGATAGAATTTTAAATTTAGATTACTCAATGGCGTTTTAATTTAAAATAAAACAGCCAATAGCGAATCGAACTCGTGTAGAGGGTCTCGTTTGATGAACATTTCGTATCTGTTTTAATTATGTTTGCTGCTTGAAATTAATTTGTAGATATTTGGTAACCTAAATAATCAATATCATAAGAAACTTAATATTGTAGTTGAAGTTAATGTTTTTTCATACATTCCAATTGCAAAGGTGTGTAAATCTCTGGATATATTTTAAAGGACATCTGAATGTGATCAGATCGGTACATTTTAATTGTTTTTATTTCATTGTTCCTCATTTCACTCCCAAAAGTGATACCTATAATCAAAATTCATTTATTTATGTATATTGCACATCTGCGTTTAGGAAATAGGAAAATGATATGTGTACCAAATTATAACTAAATTGATTAGTAGCTTCGGAGCAAATTTACTGTTACAGACGGACAAACAAAAGCACAAGTGATCTATAAAGATTTTTCGGTTTTACATATGGAATTTTAGAATATAGATATTTAGTATTATAAAAGCCGTGTGGTGTCGTGGGACACCCGATAGGAACGAAGTTGTGACGATCGAGTAAAACTGATTCGGCACATTTTAATTACAACGCCATCTATGAAAGCGGCTATTACCTATTTTTCAGTTGGTTTCTAATTAAAACAATTTATACATTGGTAAAATCTCCTTGAGAAATGATTTCCTATCTATTCGATAGATGGCGCTGAATGACTGACATAAAAAGATAGAAATGAAAATATCTGGCTTGCTTTCTATAAGAGAGAGAGAGAGACAGACAGAGAAATATGCGACGCCGCACAGCTTACAATAGTTTACTATAGCAAAAAGTGTCGTGACCAATTTTCGTAAGAATTTTTTCCGTCTAGCCCCCTTTCACAACGCGCGATAAGGAACTTCGTTCCAATAATTAAAATAACTTTACTAAGTAAACTAGCTGTTTCCCGCGTCTCCTCTTGGTTCTTGATAGTGTTAAACAAGCTATAACTTGCCTCGATAATAGACCTATCAAATTGTTTAATTTTAATTTTTCGGCTAATATTTCCAAAGTTTTTTTTTTACTCGCAGTAATATTTATTTTTAGCTTTAGTATATGGATGGGTTGGTAAGGTATTGAGGAAAACACTACCTTGATGTGGTTACTACTTTCATAAATAAGTTAACTGTTCGGTAGATATGTTACACCTTTTATTTCAAGAACAAATTATTGTACTCAAACTAAAACATTTTGTTATGTAAAGTATAAAAAAACCGGTCAGGTACGAGTCCAACTCGTTCGCCGAGGGTTCCGTACCTACCCAGATTTTACGTAGATTTTCGCGAAAATTTGTAAGTACCAAAACTTATCTTAATTTTCGACTTTTTTCATTTTTTGGAATTCTTCCTTTATTTGAGCTGTAAGACGTTTCTTTTTGCCAAATTTCGTGATTCTAGGTCAACGGGAACTACCATATAGGTTTTCAACCCAAAAGGGTAGGGTACTTCCGGTTGACGAATAATTGTCAATTTTGGTTAAAAGCAAGTTCTTACAGCACAAGTAAAGAGAAAATTCTGAAAAATAAAAAAAGTTGTAAATTAAGGTAAATTTTGGTACTTATAAGTTTTCGCGAAAATCGAAATTTGCCTATATCTTTTTATCGTGTTGACTCACGACCTTGATTTTTATACACCTAATAGGGACCATAGACTTCAGTATCTAGTATACATTTCAACTTGCTAGGTCTACCCGTTCCTGAGAAAATCGGTGGTGACACACGGACAGACGGACACACGGCCAAGAAAGTGATCTTATAAGGGTTCCTTTTTTACCTTTTGAACCCTAAAAATTACAAATAAGACAAATTAAAAAGCTTGTGCTCCAGAGAGAAGGAAAACCTGACACAAACATTATACCAACCCGTCTGGCCAGCGTGGTGTAGTAGGCCAAAACCTCCTTTTTAAGGAGAGGCCTATGTCCAGCAGTGGACTAGTAAAGGCTGTTGATGATGATGAAAAAGCTTATAAAATGTTATTATGCTTTTTATTTCAATATTTTATGCATAAATTTCTTCCAGTCTACCTTTTGGTGATGGGGAAAGGTCTGACAACAATAGTTGCTATAAAGAGCAAGCTAAATGGCGTTGACTGAACGCTGATAAGGGTGCGAGAATCAGGGATGTTAGACGTACCAATTTCTTTGTATACGTACCATTTTTCAGGGTGTTGTACCATGTACCAACCAAATATTGTCTTGGTGTAAAATCGGTCAAAATGATTTATGACGGTTGATTTTTATTTTATTTATTTCATATTATGTACAGACATTTATAAGATCTAATAATAAAAACGTCAACGAATAATGAGAATAATAATCATAATAAGAATAATTATAATAATAATAATTATAATAATAATTATAATTAGAGTTAACACAGAAATTCAAAGCCAGAATAAGTCAGATTTTGAGAACCCAATTAAACTCACGCAATACCATCAAAGCCATCAACACGTATGCAATACCAGTTCTTATTTATTCGTTTGGGATTTTAGCCTGGTCCCAGAGCGATCTCATTAAATTACAGCGCACAATCAACACACACATGACAACCAATAGGAAACATCACCCCAGATCGTGCACACAACGTCTTACATTACCACGGCAAGATGGAGGAAGAGGTCTCATCGACATACAGAATCTACACAACAATCTTATAGATAAGTTACGCAAATATTTCTACGCCCAAGCCGGACAATCCCGTCTTCATAAATTCTTAACCGATATAGACAAAAAATTAACTCCGCTCAACTTAAACGACACAAACATTCAACCAAAATTATTGAGCAAACAGCAGAAAATAGACTTATGGGCCCAAAAGTCTCTACACGGCAGACATCTCGCCGATCTCAGCCAAACACACGTCGATAGAAAAGCGTCGAACGAGTGGCTGCGGCGCGGAGAACTCTTCCCAGAAACCGAGGCTTTTGTGATCGCTATTCAGGATCAGGTTATCGATACTCTTAACTATAAAAAACACATAATCCGTACCCCTAACCTTCCTACCGACTTATGTAGACGATGCCATAGCAGTTCCGAAACCATCCAACACATCACTGGTTCTTGTAAATCTATTGTACAAACTGATTATAAACACAGACATGACCAAGTTGCAGCAATAATCCATCAAAATCTAGCTCACAAATACTCATTTATTTTAAATAAAACTGCTTATTATAAATATAAACCCAGTACAGTTCTAGAAAATAATGCATTTAAAATATATTGGGATAGGACAATAATTACCGACAAAACCATACATTATAATAGACCGGATATAACAATACTAGACAAAACTAACAAAATAGTTTTTATTATAGACATAGCAGTATGTAACACACACAATCTCCTCACGACGCACACAGAAAAGATGACTAAATACATAGACTTAGCAACGGAAATAAAAAGGCAATGGCAGGTAGATAGAGTTAAAATAGTACCCATTGTCATATCTACAACTGGCGTAGTACCGAAGACTCTTCAAGATAGCCTCAACACATTGGAAATGCCGAAATCCTCTCTCATACTCTTACAAAAAGCAGTCCTTCTTAACACATGCCGTCTCACACGCAAATTTCTCGCTTCATCCTCATCATCTTAACTTCATATCATCATCCCTTTTTGGCACACTTGGCTAAGGCCCGTGTGTTAGATTTTGTTACCCCTTTAAAATAAAAGGGAGACCAGACAAGGTATAAAATGACATAATAATTATAATATTAATAATAACTATTATTGTTAACTTTTTATCAGGTATATTTTTTTTTCCAAATAATCAAGAACTTCTGCGATACTTCAAAATTTCATTTAAAAGCACACAAAATAAACAATTTATTATTATTATTAGTATATTATATAACATATAACGTTATTATGAGTGTTTCATCTTTTTTAAATACCAGCTTTTAAAGCCTTTTAGCGACATCTGTACCAGCTCACCAAAATCTAACACCCCTGGAGAATATCTACCAAATAGAGAATACCGAAGCTGTGAGTGTAGCACTGCCGTAAACCTCATACGATTTACAGGAAAAGGATTGTTTAAAAATAACTCCTGCAATAGGAATGTATCCTGTGTTGCAGGTGACTTTACATTTACTTTTCATTTTAACATTCATGAAACGGGCACAAAGAACACCCAGACTCAGGACAAGATCACACAGTGTTGTCCCATGTGGGGATCGAACCCAAACAACACTCAGCGCAGTAAGAAACGGCGAGGTGACCGCTTAACGCCATCCGTGCAGTCAAGTTACATATCGATTTATCATCAGATACTGACATATCGATTAAAATAATGGGATAAACAAGAACAGAATTATTTATTTACCAAACCAGAACAATAAAATATAAATATATATATACATACCCAATACAATCATTTATAACGATATATAATGTACATCAAAAATACTTGTAGTTATATAGAAAAAAAATTCACTTTCCACGTCTTCGGGTCGTTTCTTCCCCGAATTTTACCCAACAGATAATCAGTAATACGGGTTGTACATGTCGCTGGTGCGGCTGCGCACGTTGCAGTCACCGTTGCCACAGTGGGGTCGCGCCAAACCATCTCACGATCATAAGTGTATACTCCCCTGATCTTAGTCCAGTCTATCCGGCCCCCGTCATAAAATGATCGGAAGAAAAAAGCACTCAGGCGATTCTTTGGACCTAAGCATGCCAAAAAATAATTTCGCACCGACATATTGATCCTGAAATAAAATAACCCTATTACAAACTAATACATAAAATAAGAATAATATTAAATCAACTTACCAATAGTATTTTGTTTAAAAAAAATTAAATAAAACAATTTATGTATAATAGGACGGAAAATTGCATTATAAAATAATGGTCATTTTTTTCATTGTAACAGGTGAAAAGACTGTAAAAAAGAATAGAGAAACATTGTCAACAAGTGAAAAGAATTATATTGCTTAAATACTCCTTTTTAGTATATTTTTGATATTGATAGTTCGCACACAATTATAAATTTAAAATCTTGAGTCTTAATTTAAAAATCAAATATAACATTGCAATAAACCTCTGGATGTGTTTACTGAATCACATATTTATAACATTCCAAACTTATAAGTTCATATTTTTTACTCAGAGTAACTGGACTTTTATTTATACTTATTTTATTTATACTGAAACACAGTGTAAATAAAATAAGTAATAAACAAAAAAAGAGGTGTAGCACTCGGGAACTGCAGCGGTAAAGCTATTGCATAGCATTTTTTATCAACTTATGCAATTATAATTATTTATTTATTTTATTTATGCAGTATTTTTTTTCCTTCGTTTTTTTTCTTTGATATTAATTCAAGTTATACTTTTTGAGCGTGGTGACCGATAAGAAAACAATTTTTTTCTTTTATTAAATAAATGAGAAGTTAATATTGTTCAAAATGTTTTTATTATTTTACAATACATGTAGGTTATTCAGGAATATTTATCATTGAAACTATAGGTTTATGGTAACTGAAATAAGAAACAAAAGTTTGAGACTTGATATCTTCTAAATATCTGGAAAATACCGCGTCGCGCGTAGTGGCGGGTGTTAGGTTATTTTCGTTACGGAATTTTTAGATTCGGTCTCCACGCTCAAGGCTTGCGATAGAAGCTATGCAATAGCTTAATAAACCTAGCCAAATAAGAAGTAGTATTCATTAAACTGGATTCTGGACATCATCTTATTTTCTATGGAACTTGAGGCGTCTATGCCTCTTTTTCAAAAGTTCATAGCTTAAAAATAAATAGTTTCAATTATATTTAAGCCGTGGTAGATCAATTCGGCACATTCTAGCCAACTCGACCGGGGTTATACCACGGACTCAGAGAAAACCAGTGTTAAGTAATTCTTCCTAAACATTTCAACGAGTGAGGGAGATTACAGGAAACTTAAACCCTCCCCCACCCACCTTAAATTGGGGAGGGGGAGGGGCAATCATAGACCCAGCAACGCACTCGTGCCTCTTGAGTTGCAGGTGTTCATGGGTGTTCATGGGCGACTGTTGTCAATTCCTACCGACTGCTCGTTTGACGTATTGACATAAAAAATCTAAAACCCGTATACCAAGCAGAATGATTTGATTTTGTAACTCTTAAGGGGGTCGACCCCATATGATAGCCTGTCTTTTAGGAATATTTCGGGAATTTTTTGACAAACAATGAAAATATAAAACTTTGAGATTTCATCATTTATTTAGGTGCGACCCCCTTAACGGTCTCTACACAGCACTAAAATCTATTTATGATTGGAACTGTTTGTTGGGGCAGCACTTTCCATTTTTAACAATTTTAACAAAAGTGTGATAGTTTTGAGTATTTTGTCGACATTCCCAAATTTCTGACTGCAGTTGGAGTCAATTCAAAATTGACTGACGCCTGCATTGCACTTACTTCTGTATGTAGACTCCTCAAGTTAGTTTCGATACTTCTTCGCAAGGCTAGTCATAGGAAATGGCACCAACAAGCTTCAATGAACAAAAACGAAATTCTGAAAAATGTTTTCGAAAAACATCATATCTAAATGTCACTTGGCAACTAATTATTTATCTTATACTTCTGTTAAAATTGAAATTGTATTTCGCTGTGTTATATAAGAGTAAACAGGTTTTAAGTTGATATGATCTTTGAAAAGATACATAAGTATATTTTTATTGATACTACCAAACTCTAAAATTTCATGTGTTTTGCGAACCAAATCCCGATCGAAAATTATTGATTGATGGACATCGTCATCGCATTGACTAATGTGCTACGAGTATGTGCAAACTGCACGATTTTATCTAAAAGGGAAAATAATTTCTATGAACCGCTACAGAATTTGATCGTCTAAATTAGATTATTTGAGCATAGAGTGCAAAGAGATACTGGCAGCTTACATCTACTTTCACTGTTTTATTCTTTATAACAAAAAGAAAAAAAATACAAAGACATAATTTATATTCATTTCGACATATATAAAAAACAAAAAATAATAAAATTAATAAATTTATAAAAATCATCGAAAAGTGAAAACTAAAATATGTGTATCGGTAGTTGTGGCGCTGGCGGTTGCTGTGGTTGTCCTGGATACTGTCCAGGGGGACCTGGTAACTGCTGCAGTACTCCTTGCAACTGCCAGGTGGCAGGACTGGCATATCCTG